GTTTGGAAGACGCTGCTCTCTTATTCACATGATACCAGCCCCACATCAGCGGTTGCCGTGTGTAGAGGGCTCCGCTCTCTCACTCATTCAGGGCGATATGCAGCCCCCGCTTCAGTGCGGCGACAAGCGCTTCAGTCGCTTACCCACTCACCAGCAGTAAAGCGGCAAGGAGTCACCTGATGCCCCTGCTTGGAAAAGCGCGCGAAGGCGAAGAGTCACCTGATGCCCCTGCTTGGAAAAGTGCGCAAGGCAAGGAGTCACCTGATGCGACTGCGGAAAAGCGCGCAAAGGCGAGGAGTCACCTGATGCCCAAACGGCTCATCGCAGTGCAGGGACACCAGGCCCGCGACCGCTGCTGCCAGGAGCCGGATGTGCGGAGAAAAGTGTAAAGGGACCCGGGAAGAGGCACCACGGCAAGCGGAGGAGCCCGCGTCGTGACTCCCGCCCGCCATCAGCTGCCAAGCCGTCGTCCTGACAGTCCGGAGAGGAGGGAAGAGTAGCCTATGCGATCGGCCCAGCCCCCAAGCTGTCTCAACATTTTTCAAATTTGTGTTTGATGTGTGTGTGGGATCATTAAAACCGCTAAAGCCGCTATGTCAGTTCCTGAGCGCGTGGAAAACTATTCCGGGAATCTCGCGCTGGTTACTCGGTGTGATAGAGCATGGGTACACCCTTGAATTCAGACGCAGACCACCCCGTTTCAACGGCGTGGTTGAAGTCTCTAACATTGCCTCGAAATGCCCTGGCCCCGCCTCAGAGCGGTGCAGAGCCGCTGCTCACACATGTTATAGCCGCGCAGCACTCGCCGGCGCATCCAACAACCAAGCCGCTATGTCAGTTCCTGAGTGCGTGGAAAACTATTCCGGGAATCTCGCGCTGGTTACTCGGTGTGATAGAGCATGGGTACACCCTTGAATTCAGACGCAGACCACCCCGTTTCAACGGCGTGGTGAAGTCTCTAACATTGCCTTGAAATGCCCTGAACAAGAGGTATGCAACCTGCTCGAAAAAGGAGCGGTAGAACGAGTCCCTCCGAGTGAGCTGGAGAGCGGGTTTTACAACCGCCATTTTGTGGTGCCCAAGAGAGATGGAGGACTCCGCCCATCTAGATCTCAGGCCCATCAACAGAGCGCTCTGCAAGCGTGCGTTCAGGATGATAAAACAGATCCTGGCGCGAATTCGCCCCGGGTACTGGTTGCGTCCGTGAATTTAAAGGACGCGTACTTTCACATTCAGATAGCAGCGCATCACAGACGCTTTCTGAGATTTGCTTTCGAGGCACAGTGTACCAGTACTCTGTTCTCCCGTTTGGGCTGGCTTTGGCCCCACGCACTTTCTCGAAGTGCATGGACGCAGCACTCTCGCCCCCCTCAGAGCGAGCGGGATGCGCGTTCTCAATTATTTGGATGACTGGCTGATCTTAGCTCAGTCACGGGACACATTATAGACAGCCATATAGACAAACGGTTTCGTCACTTGGAGTTCTTGGGGCTACGTGTGAATGTGCGTAAGAGCATTCTCGCCCCGAGTCAGTCTATAACATATCTGAGAGTGTGCTTCGACTCGGTGGAGATGCGCGCTTGCCTCTCTCGGGAGTGCTCGGCTGCCATTTTGTCTTCCCTGCACCATTTCAGACTGGGCAGCTCTGATCACTTGAAGTAATGTCAGAGGCTGCTGGGACTCATGGCAGCGGCATCAGTATGTCATCTGGGTTTACTACACATGCGTCCGCTGCAGTTATGGCTGAAATCTCGAGCCCCTTGGACGGCGTGGACTTCGGACCGTTTGCGCCACTTCTCTGCTGTCTTCACGTGCTATCGGAAACTTCCTATTTCCCACTTATGAAGTCGTGAGCGCTTCACCCATTCCAAGCCAGTACTGATCATGTACTGATTCGCACCGACAACGTCTGTGGTGTCGTACATAAATCACCAAGGGGGCTTACGATCCAAGGCTCGGTACAAGCAGGCAGCGAATCTCCTGCTATGGATGGACCGTCACTTTCTCTCCATCAGAGCAGCGCACATCCCCGGTCTCCTGAACCGCGGGGCAGAAATGCTTTTGAGGAAGGGGATTCCTCAAGGAGAGTGGAGGCTGCATCCCGAGTCGGTTCGTCTGATTTGGACCCGCTACGGGAGAGCGGAGGTGGATCTGTGAGAATGCGCACTGCCCGCTGTTCTTCTCCCCCAGCAAGCAATTTTGCGTTTAAAAGACGTCTATTAGACAAAAATCTGGAATTTAACAACTTAAGATAATAAAAATGACTAAATAAAATATTTTAAATAACTTAAGAAACTTTGATATTTAAAAGAAAAAAAAATCTAATACAAATCAAGAGCATGTTATCACACTTAACATTAAAACATTACGGATAAATTACAACATAAAAAAAAAAAGATGAACCCTTTTGTTGGTTTACTTCACATGCCAATGTCAGGCGGGTAGTATTATATGCATCTGTGTACACTTGTTTACCAACCTTAAACAATGATGCCCATTGACCTACAAGTTTTCGTGTGTTCACTGTATAAATTAATATGGATTAATCTTTGTCAAAGCTGTGTTTGTTCTGTTGTTTGCTCTTTGCTCCTCTTGCGCTGTTTTAAAATCGATCGAGTTTGTAAACACATACAAATGTATTTTCAATTCGCAATTTCAATTTGCGCAATTTGAAGGGTAATGGTAACGCGCCTAGTATTTGCATGCGATTTGCATACTTCGCGACAATTGTCCAGTCATTTGGACTGGCGTGAGCCAATAGGACTTCAGATGAGCTGATTCTCGTTCTCGAGTCAAGAACCGGTTGCATCGGTTTTCGGATCACCGGTACACTGAACCGAGAACCGTTTCTTTCGGACACGTCCGATTTGAGAACCGATTAGCAGATGATATTGCTCATGCGTGTAATTTTTCAAGAGGATGAAATGCATGTTATCCAAGTATTTTGTTAAACACCAGAAAGTGTGATAATATAAATATATATATATTTTTTTTTTTTAAAGATGAATGTATCTAATCTGTGTACTTTGTTCAGTTGAACAGGAATAAGGGATGATTTATGAAATACCTGTACTGTAATTATAGTTAACGATGACACATTCACAAATTGAGTTTGTAGTAAATAGAACTGATGAGCACGAGTAGAGCAGCGGATGATATACTGAACGTGCGTGCAGGGTTAGATATATATATATTTTTTTTTTTTAAAGATGAATGTATCTAATCTGTGTACTTTGTTCAGTTGAAGATTCTGATAGGTTATAGGTCAAAGGGGTTTGTCAGGGATATTGGACCATAATTAAGACTGTTTAATAGGAATAAGGAATGATTTATGAAATACCTGTACTGTAATTATAGTTAACGATGACACATTCACAAATGTAGTAAATCTCAAACAGTACACTGACTGAACTGCTGTGAAGAGATGAACACGAGCAGAGCAGCATCTGTGCAGCAAGCCGGATAATGAACGTACACGCCCACTGCTGGAGCGGTTCTCGTTCTCGAGTCAAGAACCGGTTGCATCGGTTTTCGGATCACCGGTACACTGAACCGAGAACCATTTTTTCGGACACGTCCGATTTGAGAACCGATGAGCTGATGATACTGCGCAATGCGTGATTCAGGGTGAAGCTACCGAACAGTACATGATTGACTGACCTACAGACACAGCACGAATGAGCCGACCTATTTTTTTTTGGACAACTCATTCTGTGCTAATGCTATGAGCGCGGGTAAACTGAGGTTTATTTAATAACAAATAAATCGCTATAGATTATGTATAGTAAGTGGATTATGGTTTCTGCGCTGATGACAACTAATTTGTTTACTTTATACCAGGGGTGCCCAAACTCGGTCCTGGAGGGCCGGTGTCCTGCAGAGTTTAGCTACAACTTGCCTCAACACACCTGCCTTTAAGTTTCTAGTATGCCTAGTGAGAGCTTGATTAGCTGGTTCAGGTGCGTTTAATTGGGGTTAGAGCTAGTCTCTTCTGGACACCGGCCCTCCAGGACCGAGTTTGGACACCCCTGCTTTATATCTTCAAGACTTAAATCCTCGTATGCACATCACTGCCTGTTACTGTATTTGGGTGCTTAGTAGCAAAACTTAATTGTAAACTTTTCAGATCATGATTATGATGTTTTAACTGACTGAAGTTATGATTACTGACTTTACATATTTGAATGTGTATTTTCATCCCGGCCCGGGACGACAAGACTTGATATCATTACGTCATTGCGGTAGGGCGTAAAAGAACCAATGGACCGGTTTTCTTTAACTGGTTAATTGAAACGAACTGTCCGAAAGAACCGGTTCACGGAAAAGAACCAGACTTCCCATCACTAGCTTCATCTACAGAAGAAGTGAGTATAAGGGTTTTTTTAATGAATCTTTGCAAATCGCCTTTCCTAATATGTGCTAGGTAGCCAGATTCGCGGCTGAAGTTTAGTCTGCTCGTCACCCCACGGGAGAGGGGCGGGGTCAGCAGAGCTCATTAGCATTTAAATCAACATGGACTAGAATGGCGTGCTGAAAACAGAGCTGATTTTGACAGGGTAAAAAGGGTGTTTTTTACACTACCATTGTGAAATTTTAACCAAAGTATGTTATAGACTTTTCATTAAGACCCTAAAGAATCATATCAGCTTGTGGAAAATGGGCATCCGATCATCCCTTTAAACCACACAATCAAGATTTTCTCTTTTCCCAACTCCATAACAACTGTTTTAATTGAAGAACGTAGTTTTTCAAACTTCAGAAATCATCAAATGTAACTATATCAACAATCCTAGTTACTGTAAAAAAAATTTTTTTTAAAGTTGAAAATAAGCAACAGCAAAAGTATCAGAGGCAATGTTTTCGCTTTGCAAAATACCAATACGAACAGTCAAATCAGACATGAAAACTAAATCAGGTTTGTGTGCAGTGTGAACAAAGACCTGGTCTCAGAAACATTGGTATAAACACCAAAATAATCATGACACATGAACAGTTTTTCACTGTATGTGGGAGAAAACCCTTTATTAATTGTTTCTGACTACAAAGACTTGAGAGAAAATACAAGACATCATAGATGTTAAAAAGGGATCCAGGAAAGCAAAGACAAGTTAGCAATTTAGTATCTTTGCATAAATTAGGAACAAGGGCTGTTGAGGACAAGTGTGCGGACGTCCTGTTGATCTTTAGTTTGTTTTTAAACCTTTGGTCCAGCACTGGGCTTCTGGATTCCGTGGATTCGTTTAGAAGTCAGGACGGTCCTTCTTCAGCTTGCTGTAGTCCGTGCTCACTGCGTAGAACTTGAAAAAGAAGAACAGAAAACTGAGAATACAAAATAAGCAGTTTAACAACATGCACTCTGCAAAACCCATTAACTCTACTGCCTGTTTTAAGTATTGAACTTGAACTCGACTCCACATCAAATTCACATTAAGACACGAGCATGATTAGATTTATACCAACAGAAAACATAAAATGAGCTTATGGAGCGCTTAATTAATTAAACTCATTAAGATCTGAGATTAGGTCCTGATACGGTCCTACAGTCACATCTTTTAATAGGATCCCCTTAGGCGCTCCGGCAACAATGGCGGGTTTAAGCGCTGTACTAACACCACATACACTGGTCAGTTAGCTTGAAAACTCAAAACTACTGATGCATGCTGGATGCCAAAAATGTCTTGAAGAGTGCTTTATCATCATATTTAAAGAACATTCTGAATCAAAGCAAAAGTTTTACCAATTACCACAGACTATAACTTTGACTTGTCCCTCAGTTCATAAAAAACAAGTCAAAATCATGCTTACAGAAAGACAGTTAAAATGGTCAAGGTAAGGAATTCCACAGTATCTAAAAGCAGAGAATATAGTCCTTCAGTACAAAAATGCATTGTCTGCGCTGTAAAATAGCTTAAAACATACATTCAGCAGGTTTACCTGGTCATATAAGGAGTGAAAGAGTTTTTTTTTTCCCAATAGAAATTTAAAGTTTTTTTTTTTTTTTTAAACTGGGTTTTTTAAAGTTTATGCCAATGGCTCTATACTCTAACCAAATTACTGTGCACAAATGTGAAAAATTTAGGCTCAACGTTTTGTGAGTGACCTGATCAAAGATCATGAAGCATTGTATACAGGATCCAAAATGAAAACTCACAATTTAATAATGTGCACTTATAGTCTAACGAGGAGTGTGTTTCAAAGTAAACTGCAGCAGTGAATAAAATCTGTTTTTAGCAGTTCATTTCACAGTAAATGTGTGGATTGGCATCTGGTCTAAGTTCAGGTCAGGCCAACCCAACCATCTTGTAAATGGAGATCGTTTAGAAATGTTTAGAAAACGGTTTAACGAATTAAAGCAAAAAATTAAGACAGCCATGAATAGTAGTATTGCAATTCTACTGTTGTAATATATAAAAGAAAAAAAATTCACATTACTACATTTCACATTATAACAGTAATATTGCTATAGTAGCAATATTTTTGTATATACTAATGTACACACACTTTAAATAAAATATTACATAATGTAAATTGTAAACTTATTGTAAATGAATAATACTAGTGATTATTACTGTATAGCTTTGTTAAATGTTTTCCACAAAACAATAGTTTCTGAATTCTGTCATTATTGAAAAGCTCAGTTTTCTCGTGCCTACTTTTGAATGTCATTACTGTGGCACAGTCATGTTCTATCGCTTTAAAAATTTGTAAGCAAAGAGTCCTTCAGTGGCTGGTTCAATAGGCTTCCATTCAAAGTACTTTAGTGTAAACGCAATAGTTTCAAACTGAAGGATGAGTCCAAATTATGTTTCGATTCCACAGATGCTGTTGACAGAACTTGGATAGAACCCAGAACATTCCTTTAAATACATGGAACAAAATAAATCAGAGAATCTAATTCACTTAGAAGCGATACACATCCTGAACACAGGGTTTAAATCAAGGATCCTCAAATCTTGCCCTAGAGGGCCAATGCGCTGCAGAGTTTAGTGCCAACCCTGATCAAACTCACCTACCTGAGATATTCTAATCATCCTTAAGGTTTGTGGCAAGAAGGGATGCAGCTAAAACTGGAAGCTAATAATAAATTAAGTTTTCTACCCATTAGATTGTGTTTTATTAACGTCTACACCTACCCCAACCCTAAACCTACCCCTTACAATAATGCAAAAATAGTAATTATTGTTGTGCAGTGAGACAAAAATTATACTATATTGATGTGCACACGCCCAGTAGACGAAGCTGTATACCATCTAGCCTTAACCATCCTTAAGACATTGATTAGCATGCTCAGGTGTGTTTGATTAGAGCTAAACTCTGCAGGAAAGTGGATTTCGTGGGCCAGATCTGAGGATCCCTGGTTTAAATGATCATGCACATGTATCATACCTTGTACTGATCATTGGGCCCCAGTTTATTCCAGGGCTCTGGGTTGTTCTTTCTGTCCCAGCTGTGGATGAAGCAAATGAGTGCAGAAATGAATGAGGCATGCATGATAAAACTAAATACAACGATGGCATGAACATCTGAGCAGCACTGTTGTTCTCTCCCAACTGTTTGGGTCAAGGTATGAAGAATCACAAATCAGATTCATCAATCTCAATAACAATCGTTCCTCAATTAAAAAAGGCACCAGGCCTTTATTAATTGATTAATAGAGGCCCTCTCTATTGTGAGAGACAGAATTTGTATCTACCGCAGAACAGATACTTACCAGACATCTGGGTTACGCAAGGCCAGGCGAGCCAGATATGTCAGAGACATGGTGCATCCACCGCCAATGAAAATAAACAGTGGGATCAACTATGATGAGAGGGGAACAAAAAACAAATATAAAGCAAGTCAAATGACTTGAAGGTGATGTAATAAACTTCGAAATCATAGTTGATGGCCATCTAGTATGGTGGTTCGCAATTGGTTTTGCTTCAGAACTTACATTTTATTGTATATCAACTCGCAACCCAAAATATTATTTATTGCACATAAGCAAATAACATTTCCAAAACTACAGACCTCCAGTTGAGAACCACAAATCCAGATTATACAGTAATGACTGACATTACTGTTACATAAAACTGTATACAAATTTAGCTTCACGAAACACAAAAGCCTTAAATAACTCAAATATAGCAAACCAGAGTTCCTCCTAAAACTTCCCACAGCTTCAAAACTTCACATGCAAATATCATCAGTTCAGTCTTCAGAACAGAAGTTCAGAAGATGTGGACCATGAAATTAAAACATGGCGCCAACTAACAAATAAATATTAAGAAACCAAAGATAGGAGCTGTAACAGTTCAAAAATAAAAGTGTATTTGGCCGCGCTCGCTGTCCTTAGTTTAACACGCTCGTCCTTGAGCTCCAGAACGCCAGGGCTGTCACGTGACACTAAGGCCTCCTTGTGTTAAGTGCGCACATGCAATAAAACTCGTTTTAAAGTCATTTCATTTAAATCAAATGTACAATTCACCTAATTGCATAAAGCTTCGCAATAAATAAATGTGGCACGCACAACACAATGGTAAAGTGTAGTGTTTACTTGTGTGACTGGTTTGACACTTTTGACACGTCCGTGTAATTGTGGCAACCCAATATGAACAATTGTTAGCTTCACAAAGCATTTCATTGGTATTTATTCTGGTTTCTCCATCTTTACTAAATAATTTTGAGATTGCACTAAAAAGAGCGATTTTAATCGACGAAAACATTTAGAGGAAATATTTCCATACAATTTTATTATTTTAATAACATTAATTTTCCAGGCCTGGGAATCACTGTTTTAAAATTTTGTGTAATTTAATCAATACGTATTTTGGGATTAATTAGTTCACGTTTATTCAGAGGTATAAATATCTAGACTGGTGGCATGTCTAGCATTCCGCAGCAGGGACGCTAGCAGGCTAGCGGTAGCGTTTCTACAACTTCTCCTTGCCGCCGTCTTTTACCAGATAAATCCTCCCGAAATCATCGTTCACTTACGGCAGGGTGGCTTCTGAGTTGCCGGCTGACCGTGCTCAGCATCGTGACTAACGAGATGAAATAAAATCTCCCAAAAATGTACAAAAAGAAATATATTAAGCGAGCTCTAGCAGGACCGCTCCAGCACTGAGAGAAAAGGACACAGTCCGCAGGGGGTTTATAGTGTTTGCCTGTTTTCTTTTTTTATAATTTGACATATTTGTCCTTTTATGCAAGTTAAAAAATACTTATTACAATGTAATAGTTGAAATGTTAGTAAAATAACGATAATAAAAATGATAAATCAATGATGGCATAATTATATACGGAGGTATTTTGTAAAGGCGGTGCGGTGGATACCCATTGGAAAGCGCTGTTTGTTCTTATTGATCGCTGAGCTGATCTAGGGTCAGTTTGCGAGTTCGCACGGACACTACAGTGTGATCTGGAGTGATTTCAGATATCTGATCCCAGACGAGAAAGGACATTAAAGGACCGCAGGATCTTGTACGCAGTAGAAGTGAGAAACAGAAGGTCGTTCTAGGTCGAAATTGTATTGGCATTGCTAGGAATTGATAACATTGATAAGACATATGATTTTAAATGTGCAGGAAGTACATGGATACGTTTGACTCACGCACACATGTTTCTAGTTGCTGTATGATATTTCTGTTCCTTAAATAGTTTTAATTTGTTGTCTGTGTAAAGGGTCTGTTTCACCTGAGTTGCTCATGGACAATAAACGAGTTGTGTTGTTGTAAATGTCAGTCTAACAAAAGAACAAGAACATGTCTGGGTCATATTTCCCCTCAAAGATTCAAGCTAATAATAATAATAAAATAAGATATAATTGATCAAATTTAGTCGTTTAAATTAATTTCTCTTTGAAAGTAAAAGTTGAATTAAATTATACCTATTTTGCATTGTGCCATTATTTTCATACATTAAGGACATTTGCACACTAATGTGCGACTAATATGCATCTTTAATGTATATTAGAGTATATACTAATGTATATTAGAGATATTTATATATAAATAATACACTTGACTAAGCAACAAATAATACTGACTGCAAATTATACAAAATACTGATTTTAACAAAATTATAAATTAATAAAGCTGTATATTAATATATAAATGTATTCTAAAATATATATTAAAAAATAAATCCTTCTATCAACAAATGGAACACAGACATGTGATCAAAACATGTCACCAAAAAAAGGTTTGTGTAATGCCAATATAATAATCTTACAATACTCTGAGTTATTTTAATTGCAATGCAATTAAACAATTAAATTGAACAAAAGTTGTTTACCTAGGAAAATGCTAGTTTACAAGGATATATGTTTATGAAATTGCATACATGTAATATACACTTTGCCTGAAAAGGCAGCATTGTTTTGGGTCACAGATTTCTGAACCTTATTCTAAATTTTAACAACTATCATCCTGCATTTGCTTCTTTATATTCATGGCACGTGTTAACAAAAGCACCTAAAATTTCAATTTACATAGCCTAAAAGTGCTCATCTTAAAAATGAGCATAAGATTAAAATAACAGAGAGGTAGAGAAAAGGAGAAAAGCTCTTCATCATCGTTTTAGCCAGGACAGCCTCAGGGCAGCTTGTTCAAACGGGGAGTGTGGAAATGTAGTTTAGCTGCGCTGCTAGTTCTCCTCTGCTGGCTCTTTTAATCAGTTTTGCCTTCCTGACATCCGGCCGTGTTTGTTTCCCTCCAGTTCCATATTCTGCTTTGAATCGCACATTAACCTTTCCTCAGAGTTCCTGTTAAGCAAACTGTTCTCTATTGCGGTCACGATTATGGGAGGTGGAGGGCTGACTCTCCCGCATTTCATCCAGTTTAACTGCGTCTTCTGCTTCAGTCCATTCAAGCCAGTTCCCTTCCCTAGTTTAAGTAAAATCGTGCCTAATTCAAGTATTAGTAGTAGGGATGTAACGATTAACCGCGAGCCGGTTGAAAATCGATTCAAATATGTGACGATTCAAATCGGTTGAGATGCTAAACAAGAGCTAACCCTTTAAGCCTGTACTTAGGGATGTAACGATTAACCATGAGCCGGTTGAAAATCGATTCAAATGTGAGACGATTCAAATCAGTTGAGATGCTAAACAAATCGCGATTCATTTAGGGTTAGGAGTTTATATGAATGTATGTCTGAGGGGAACTTACTGACGTTTAGATGGTATTTTTTCTTTTCATCTTGCCTCTGTATAACGCGTATTAAAGTTCATAAGTGCAGCGCTGCTTTGTTTACAGCGGAAACCAGGAAACGGGTTAAGCGCCACCTGCTGGCAGAGAGTGCATCTGCATCTCGTCTGCTGTTTCTGTTTCATGCAGATATTTGTATGCATAGTTTCACAAAACTGAAGTCAAACCATTCTGTTTTTGCTTCAAATTTCAAAATTATACAATCTAATTTAGTTTAAAAACTTCTCATGTTGCATGTATGCAGCATCTTAGTTTGGATCAAGATTAAAATGCGGTGGTTGCCTCTAATCAGCATTTTGTCCAAGCAATAATAAAAGGACACATTTAATTTATAATTTGTCTTAAATCTCATTTTGTTCAAAAAATAAAATAAATCGTGAATCGAATCGAATCGTGAAATCAAAATCGTGAATCGAATCGTGAGTCGAGTGAATCGTTACATCCCTAATTAGTAGCCTACAACGTATTGCAATCTACTAAAACGAGGGAACAAAATTAATAAGTGTAAAGACGAATTCTTAATTCGTGGCCAAGATAACATTTTTGTTCGCATGGCTCCGTAGTTTTTGCACCTATACTGCAACAAGTCTTTATAGTGATCATGGCAGAAACGCTTTTTGAAACACTGAATAAATTGCTTCACAAAATGATTCGATTTTTCTAAGCGTTCGAAACGCCACAGGTCGGTGACGCCTACTGGTCAGAAATGAAACAAAACTCAGCTCAAACATGTATAAAAACAATTGCGAATGTTTAATTGAAAGTTTAATCTATTTAAAAGAAAATTACCAAATCATATAATACTATTAAATATGACTTGTCTGCATAATGTGTGTTGTTAAATTAATTTGTTGGACTTGTTTTGTTTGTTTGATGGAGAGCTTGTTAATTAGGCTAATAAGGCTGTGCTATTAAAACGAATTTATAAAACTAATCAGAAATCATTAAAACCACTGGCTCACGATGGCTCTGCTGAAATCACGTGACTTTGGCACTCTGAATCAATAGTTCGAAACAAATGATTCGCAAGGGTTTCGAAGCTTCACGAAGCAGTGTTTCGAAAGCGCCCACTAGGGATGGGCGATACCACTTATTTTGTTTTCGATACGATACCGATATTTTTCAAGGCAGTATCGTCGATATCGATACCGATTCGATACTTCTGAACTAAACTTTTAAATTATGAAATTTATTAAATTATTAAATTACTAAGAGTAAAATGGGTAATGATAAGCACTTAACTGTTTAAAACGCATTTTAACATTAAATACGCCTTAATTGTAACTTATTAAGTTATATTTTTGTTTACACATGGTTCAAATATGTTTTTTGTTTACACATGATTCAAATCTACAAATATTACAGTTGAACTATGGTCACTTTAGTAAAACCATGGTTCATTTTCATAAGGGACTGCCAGTGACCGGCTGTTGCATGCATAAAATGCAACCTTTTTATTCTGACAGTGTATGATTTCTATTAACATTACAGAATAGAACATGATCAATATTATCTTTCAACGTTAAATTTAAATAACTGTAATTGCACAAACTATGTAGGCTACAATTTCAGTTTGTTTATTGTGAAATAACTCTGTCCTTCTGTCCTCTGATAAGCATTGTTCAGGGCTGCCGTTCCCAAAAGCTTTAATGCTTTCTTATGATACTTTTGGGAAAAGCAGCCCTGAATGCACTGTCAGAAGTGAGTGAACGCTCTCTGTGATGGATTGGTTCTGTCTTGCAACATTTGCGTGTGTTCAGATGAGCAGGAAAATAGTTATCCTACAAAATTACTCGCTAACAAAGGTTAAAACACACCTTAGTATCGATATTTTCAGTTTGAGTATCGATACTTTCGATACTCGCGTCAGTATCGATATATCGATACTTTGGATCGATACGCCCATCCCTAGCGCCCACCAAAGGTGCGATTGCAAACAGACACACCACAAACCCATTCATGTCCAGGGTGTGTGTTTAATGTCATTTGGTTGTTTTTCTCATCCAAGCAGAGAGAACATGATTCTGGCAGACGTGAACAGCGTTTTTGGCAGACGTTCCCCGATGACAGCTGGTCAACAAATCTGACTGAGTATCCCTTTTATTTAAACACCCATTATGATTCTAAACAGATCGTTTCATAGAGACGCTGAGTATAATTACTCTATAAAATTCCATTTTTATTCTGACATAAGGATACAGTATAATGCAGATGATTTGTTTTGTAAAAAATGTCAACTTTCTAAATATTTGTTTTGCTTACTTCAAACGATACATGAATATAAATATGACATCTGGTATGAAAAAGCCATGTTTTGACAAATAATTCATCTATACAGGTGTTTGTGCATTACATACGCAAAGTAAACACCACACACATACACTTTTTGGGGAATGCAATGACAATCAGACGTTTAACAATTTACTGCCTAAATTAAGACTTGCAGTTAAGGCAGAACACACCTGTCTGACTTCTCAAATGTCTAGGAGGTAAATATAGAAATGTGTCAAAAGTACGAATTGTGGTAGTTAAAAAATTCAGTGGTTGGCTCGCTGGAGGGAGTCTTCCAGGAAGTACAATCAGCTGTGGTGTGTCTACCTTTTATAGACTCCAATTTTAAATTGGATCTTTATCCAAACTTGATCTTTTTGATTTCGCCTTATGAGCATGACAGATTATGATTAGGCACAGACACACATTTGCACTGTCCCTCTGTTACCATGGATACCATTTTGCAAGATGGTCAAACATACCCCATAATTAAATGTTCAGAACATCAGCATAATAACAATATTTTGAGTGCTAAAACATCATCTCTGAAGTACACCAACGATGGAGTTAGTGTGGTAAAGTGTTTAGAATAAACGTCTATGTTTGTCTCAGGAGTTCAGACGCAGGCATACATGTGCGCATGCGCACACACACACACACACACACAGTGACACACAGGGTTCCAGTCTTCAGTGTGTCGTCTTCTTAGGAGACTTTCCAAATTTGGCATCCAGTCCAAGGCCTGAAAGACAGAGCACAGTCATGGTTGAGCTTATTATATATCCGTTCACTATGGTCATACAGCTCTGGACTGATTATTAGTACTGCTCAATATAGAACTATTCAACTTTAACAAGCTCAGAAGTACACGACTAGTCAAAAATGTGGACATACATCACTGGATGTGTATTTTACTAATGAACATTTTTAATCCAAAACCTTATGCTCAAATGCTGCAAATGAAGTTTGTAAACAAATGTAAATTGTACCTATGTATAAACTTCTTAAACTGCATTTAAGTTAACTAAAATGTTATATTATTAAATTATACTACCATTCAAATGTTTGGGGTCAGTAATATTTTTTTCCTTTTAGAAATTAATACTTTTATTCAGAATTTAAGATTTATAAAGTGATAGTAAAGACATTTGTAATCTTACAAAATGTACATTTTTTAAATAAACGCTGTTCTTTTGAACTTTCTTTTCATCAAAGAATCCTGAAAAATGTATTACGTTTCCACAAAAATATTAAGCAGCACAGCTGTTTTCAACATTGATAATAATAAGTGTTACTAGAGCACCAAATCATCATATTAGGATGATTTCTGAAGGATCATGTGACACTGAAGACTGGAGTAATGATGCTGAAAATTCAGCTTTGCATCACAGGAATAAATTATTATTTTAAAATTTGTGACCCTGTCTGTGAAATCCAGGCTAAAGTCTCAAAATCTAATTATGAGATAACAAGCATCAAAGTTTGATTTCAACCATTAATTTGACTATGATTTCAATCTTTGACATGGCCTCATTATTTAAAGATATAAAGGTTATATTTGCACAGAATGTTCTACATCTTTATGAAGGATGATTTTATGTAGAAAACAGTAAATCTCCAAAAAATGACTTTAGCTGGGTTTTCACAGGCAGGGTCACATATTAAAATAGAAAGCAATATTTTTGATGCAGGCTTGGTGAGCATAAGAGACTTCATTTTGAATCATAGTGCTTGTGTGTGTGTGTGTGTGTGTGTGTGTGTGTGTGTGTATTACAATATAAATATACATAATATAGTTTTGAGAACGTATCACTCACCGAAGAAGACGAGGATGGTACCAAACCACTGCATAGTGCTGATGACGTTCCCAAACAGCAGCACAGACCCCAGGATGGTGAAGAACTTCCGTGGCGTTGTGATGATGGCACAGGTGAGCGGCCCAAAATACACCACAGTCATGAAGATGAAAGTCTAGGTGAAGAAAGATGAGGAGAATAAAACCCTGGATCACCACCTCATTCTCATTAGGCGATGGCGTCTAAATGAACGATATATTATACAAACAACAAACCCACCTGTCCAAGAGCACTAGTGATACTGAACAGGAGGATATTATAGATGATGCCAGGATAGCGGTCAGTAAATGACAAAAACTCCCACACCTCCCCTGTCCAAAGCACAACTATGCAGAAAGAAAGAGCGAGAGATCATTTTCTTAGTAGATGGTTAGATTTGAATTACTCATGTTAGCTGCAGTGATCACATTCTGCTTTTTTAAACTCATTTAAAAGTGTTTATTATGCCATAACGAGGTTGGCAAGTAACGTGACTCACCAAAGCCAGTTTTTACTCACATTTGGGCTTGGCAAAGTGTTAATTCTGGACTCTGTATTATTTCGCATTTGCATAGTTGAAAGAGAAACTTTAGCAAAACTATTCATTATTTCTGATAACTTCAGAGAGCACCACAGGACGGCTCTGGTTTCATAATGAGAGGTTTGAAAGGAAGGAAGTTTGCTGCATGTGTGATGAGATTAAAGATTAAAAGTGAGGAACAGATGCCTTTCAGAGCTGAGGCAGACAGACTGAACAGCTGCTGGAGATCAGCGGGGTTGCTTCTGTCAGGCCTGAAATAATAACAACAGCAACACTAACCATAGAGCCAGAGCTCCCCCTGCTGGAGGAAAATACACGGACAACGATGGAAATACCATTTCAAATAATGCAGGGCACTCAAATGATATCTAAATATGTATACATTTACTCTGAAATAGCACAATTTCAACCAAACAGTCATTTTTGCCAAGCTGATTAGAAATGTTTTAGGCAATGCGTAAAATAGAGGGAAAAAATATAGTTAAAAATAATCCATGGCATGTTTTCAACACTGATTTTAACTATATGAACATCAAAATGATCAAATAATAATGATAAAATTGTAATAAACAGCAAAATTTGATCACACACTACTGTTCAAATATTTAGAGTCAATAAGATTTTTTGAAACAAGTCTTACGGTCACCCGGGCTGATTTTTACATGATCATACAGTTAAATAAATCAGCAATATTGTGAAATATTATTACAATTTAAAATAACATTTTTCTATTGTAATATATTTTAATATGTATTTTATTCCTGTGATGCAAAACTGAATTTTCAGCATCATTACTCCAGTCTTCGGCGTCACATGATCCTCCATCCTAATATGCTAAATATACTATGCTAATAATAAATCATCCTAATAATGCTAAATAATTATTTGGTGCTCAAAAAACATTTCTTCTTATTATCATTATTAATGATAAGGAAATTAATGAAAACAGTTGTGCTGCTTAATATTTTAGTTTTTTTTAGGATTAGGATTAATAGAAAGTTCAAGGGAACAGCATTTATTTGAAATATAGCAACATTTTGTATCATAATAAATATATTTATTGTCAATTTTGATCAGTTTAATGTATCATTGCTAAATAAAACTATTAAAGGTGCTGTATGTAAGTTTTTGACTCTACTAAAGCATAAAAATACCATAATATGTTTGCAGATATTTAAGAAACATGCTAAGTTAATATACTTGTTTATCTGAAAAACAATGCTACAGTCAGTTATTCTCCTGTGAAAATATGCGTTCGGGGCCGGAATGTCGGTCTCTGTTTTGGTTTGCGAAACCCGCCCACTACCAGTTTACCCAATTGTATTTCGGCACCCCGGGTTGCCAGCTGGTGGAAAACACAGCGTATATAAACACAGCGTATGCATTTCATTCATCATCAAGTGCGCTCGCTCCTGTTGGTGTCGTCAATCTGGCAACCTGCGTGTGTGCCAAGTCTGAGGAGGAGGGGCCGGGTGAAAAAACCCTCTCCAATATTTTGAATTTGGACTGCAATACCAAGTTCAACCACTCAGTGTCAATCCTACATACAGCACCTTTAATTTCCTTACTGCCCCAAAACTTTTAAACTGTAGTGTATTAATTACTATAACCGCCACATAGGGACTTCCATGAACACTTTGAGTAATGACAAATGAATCGTTGAGTCAGACTTTTTTTAAATGATTCACTAAAGTGGACAATTTGAAGTGATTCGCAGAAATACAATCAAGTTGTTTTTTTAAATACTGAGTTTAAAATCAGACACACTGTAAAATATCTTAATCTCATATGCAGAAGACATGAAAAAAAATTTGAATTTTCAAATGTATCACTCAGATAGAAGAGTTAATAAATATTCAAGTGATACACATTTATTCTTTTAGCTTTAATAACCAGTACTTTCACTAACAGAGTGCCAGAGTTCCTATAATTGAATAGGTGTTTCGTTTTAATAACTCACTTATTCCTAAAACCAGTGTGGACCACATGTTGATGTTCAGCATCATGTGATTGGCTCCCGTCTGGTACCGTGTCCTCATGTGGTCCTGAGCTACACCTGTCAGCCCATCCAGAGTCAGAGACAGCAGCTATCAAGCAAACACACATCAGATCAGCTTTAAACACAGAACAAGAAATGGTATACAAGGGAGGAGAGAATGGAATCAATTCAAAGAGAGACCAACCAGCAGCATCTCTCCAAAGCCAAATGTGTGTTCATCTGATGTGCTGGAGCCTTTGTTGGGTTTGTAGAGGAAGAGAGCTACCCCAGTGACGATTAGAAACACACACAGATACTTCGCCATGGGATATTTCTTCCTTAGGATTGTGACACCCAGAATCATCACTGTGGAGCCAAGGGGACAAAAGCACAAAGAGAAGACGTGACCAACACCATCAATCTGCAGGCATTTCTGTTGGGTGCTTAAAAAGAAGTGCAAGAGCAAAGAGAGGAGTTTGCCATATGGCCAACAAACAGAAGTCAAAAAATATGGCCATATGGGAATATATGCTCACAGTTAGACATTGAACATATGAGGCAAGCATACATTTTGTAGTCTAAACAAAAATACATCCAGATGAGAAATGAATAAAAACTACAGTGGCCAAAAAAGTATTTGGATACTTAATGTATGGGGGGATGGTGCAAAACCATTTTTTTAATAATGATTTGTAAAGAACTTGTCACAGGAGTTTTTTCTATCAATTTCATTTTATATTATTTCTGTATTTTTCTAGAAAGTGTGTTTGTGCCAACTTTTTTTTTTTTTAAATAAAGGCCATCTAGATGGATATTTTTTATTTATTGTAATGACTCTTTTATTATTTAGTGTTACTTAGGTGTTAATAAGGGTCCAAAAAGGTTGAGCCCACTGTTTAGTCTTTTGTACACTAACATTCAAACATTTGGGGTTGGATAATATTTTATTTATTTATTTTTTGGTCTCTTATGTTTACCAAGCTTGTATTTATTTGATCAAAAAACATTAATATTGACAAATATTATTAATATTTTAAAATAACGTTTCTATCTGAATATGTTTTAAAATGATGACAAAAGTGATGGCAAAACTGAATTTATTTACTCCAGTCTTCAGGGTCACATAACCCTTCAAAAATCATTGTAATAGGTCTAATATGTATCTAAAAACTACTTATTATTTTTGTGAAAACTATGATGCAGCTTTTCTAGATTCTATGATAAACAGAAAGTTGAAAAGAACAGGATTTAATTAAAAAAATGAATTGTTTGTATGATTATAAATGTCTTTTTTGTCACTTATGATTAATGCATCTTTGCTAATTGAAATTTATTCATTTCTTTAAAAAAAAGCTTGCTGACCTTAAACTTCTGAATGGTAGTGTATGTACAAATTAAACTGTAAATCCCTAAAATCATTTAGTGTGAACTACAGTAAAACAAGCCCAGCATGTTCTACATTCTTTCCTGTGTTTGTGTGATTAAAACCGATAAAGATACTCACCTGGAATAGGTTTACAGGATTTTCCCAAAACCTAGAAAGAACAAAGACTCATGAGCGAGGTGTTGTGAGGAAGAGAATCAGATATTCGCGAGTAGAGATCTGTGCAGACCTGTGTGGGGTAGTTGACATACTGCAGGGCTGAGTTACTGGACACCATGGCACCCAGGTAAGACAGAGAGCACATGCCATACAGCCAGCTTCTCGTGTGGTCCTGCTTTGAGCCCTCAAAAAACAGAATTACTGCATACACAAAACAGAGAGCATGCTAAAATTACTTGTCATTCAGATTTTAAACACCTGCAGCAACATTTATGTGCCATAACATGATGCCACCCATTCAATACAACAACACATGATCTCCACACATGCAGTCAGACTCAGAACATCTGCAGGTTTGTCTCACAGAGTCTGGCGAAAGCAGCATTGATGATGCACTGGATGAAGACTAGTGTGGTGGCATAACGAAACTTCTCCTTCTTCCCCGCTTGACTGTAGTCTCCTCGCGTGCTGGAGGAAACAGAAGACAGAGGCACTGAATTGTGGGATTGAAGGGAACAGCTGTGTGGAACATAATAATCACTGGAGGTTAAAATAACCAACAGTGGCTGGGGAAGAAATTGTTGTTTAGAGCAGCGACTAATTTTAGCGCTTCATAAAAATATTCTTCAGGATGCTGAAAGGTCAACTCATCTGCGGGGGTTCAAAACAGTGTGTAGAGATGAAATGGTTAAAAACATGGCAATATGATCTGAAAAGAAAATCACTGCTTGTTCATCTGAGACAAACTATCACACCAGATTTCAAAAGGAAAAAGACATTGTGCTGGCTTGTGTTACTTAGAGACACACAAAGAAAAACTTTCTTAGTTTGCTGACATTGTCTTGGCTATAATATCTGTGGTTCAGATAACTATTCACTTCTAACTTATATATATATATATATATATATATATATATATGTA